TTTTTGCTGCTCTTGAACAGTTGCTAAAGCCTTGGCATTGCTCCAGCTCACGTAGTCCGGATAGTCCGATCCGTCTGTCCTTCGGTCAGTGGCAGACCCTAAGCTATTTGTAAGTTTGAAATGAGCAGGCCAAATTTTGTTTCTTTACTCTTTAACAGTAAATGTTTATTCCTAATTGGCTTGGGTTAAGTCTTTAGGCTGTTTTTATTTGGGGTATTCCTTCGTTTAAAGAAAATTTACTTAACACTTAAATAAAATATAAGAGGTTTTAATGCATTCAATTATAAGGAATATCAAAAAAATATATACATTGGGAATACATATATATTTTTCTGTTATATATACTTTCCCATTTATATTTCTTTATATAATATATTCGGAATTTTTAAGAGATTTTTTTTTATATAAATACATATAAAAGTTTTGGTTGGGCTTTTGCTCATTTAAAAAATAAATTTAAAAAATATAAAAATTAATTAAAAATCTTAACATAAATATATATTAAATTGAAGAATGCAAATCTAAGATACAATATCTTTCTAAATATATACAAAAACATTTTGTTAATATACACATATATCTAGTTAATCTGTCAGAAAATTTTTCAAAATTATGAAAATTGGAACGCCAAAAAAAAAAAAGAGATAATTTCTAAGTATTCGAAAACATATTTAATAGAAATTTAAAAAGTTTATTTATGACCCAGGCCCATACTATTTCGAATATTTAAAAGAAATATCAATTGCTTAGTTGCTTGACATAGACATCCATATTTCTATATATACTTTAGTTATATATATACATACAGATATATCTAGTTATATTTAGGTTATTTTATTGAAAGGAAAATTCAAGAAAATTTAAATTGTCAACATAATTTGTAACCCTTAGCAGCTTACGTCTGAATTTAGCGACAACTCCTCAGACTTTCATGTTTTACATAGTTTGCGTGTTTTCCTACTTCTGTTTTACACTGCCTACAGTTATCTGCCTCCTCTTCCCACACCACTTTTCGCTCCCTCTGACAGACGCTAGATATCCTGCAGTCCTGCTGGAGCCAAGCACATTTTCATTTTAATAACTGGCGATGTGAAGAGCGAACGAAATGCGCATACGGGTCGGAGTACAGTTAGGGTTCCGGGTACGGATATGGCTTCCGTCTTTTGCCATTGCCCACTTTTGTTGTTGTTGTTGTTGTTGTCTTGCGTAATTTGCAATTACGTACAAAACTTTGCCGCGACAGCAGCCTAGGACAACAACAACAACAACGAGTTGTGAGTTGCTTGTGTGTGCGATAAGATAAAGCAATCGACAGGACCACAAGGCTAGGCGAAAAGGATAATGCGAGGGAATTGTAAATGAAATAAAAGAAATAGACGAGCAAATAAACAATTGACATAGCAAATGAGAAACTTCACAAGAAAGCAAACAAAAAATAAAAAAAAAGGAAAGGAAAAAGAAATGAAAAGCGAGCAAAGTGCAAAACGAGATGGGCTGCAAAATGTATGTTCCGGCCCAAGGCAACGCCTTCAAGCGAAATTGACGTAATTCTTGCAGGAAGCGGCCAGCGCAAAGATAACTGCAATAGCTAACATAAAATAACTGTAATGCGTACACGTGCCCAGCGCTCAATCATTGTATTCCAATCTTATTCTCACTCTCACTCATACACATAACAACAACAGTTGCCCACGCACAAAGACACACACATACATACAGGTGTGCGGCTGGCGTCGGCGTCAGCTGTTCGGCTGCAGCGAACACATTCTGTTACCCAGGCTCCAGGCCCGGGCACAACGCCACAAATTTCACTCAATTGCACAAAACTTGCTCAGCCTGCAGCCTACTTTTAGGCTCGACCGAGAGAGAGAGTGAGCGCGCGAGAGTGGGAGAGTGAGCGCGCTTGTGAGTGTCATGGCGCTCTCTGTGCTGTCGCAGAGCATGCGGCCTATGCGAGACCTTGAACTCGAATTTTTTCCGTTCTTTTTTTTTATTATTATTTTCTTTTGCTTTTTGTTTTTTGTCAGCTTTGGCTTTCGCTTTCGTTGAGCGTTCGGCTGGTGTTATGTAACACGCGATGGAGAGCATTTAGGCTGTGCAAAGGCCATGGAAATTGAGCGCAAGCGAAACTTTCACTTTCAGCAGTCAACGACACGCGAGAGAGCGACTACTACTGTGTGCCTGTTTGACAAAGAGGAAGAGAGGCAGAGGGAGAGAGAGAGAGTGTGTGTGTGTGTGTGTGAGTGACAGGGAGCACCGTTATAGTACACACGAAAAAAATGTATGAAAATGTGCGACGCAATAATTCGATAGGCAGCAAAACATATGATTTCACGTTTGTTGATGTTATTCATGTTGCTGTTATTGCTGTTGTTGTTATTATTGCTTTTCTTGTTGTTGTAGTTCATCAATGAAGACGTCATCAAAAGCGCTGAACAAACAAAATAATTTGCTTTGTAATCCAGCGTGTCAGAGGGCAAGGTAAATTTGATCACTTCAGGCTGGGCCAATGAAAATTTTGTTTGCCAGCTCAATCAAAATAATTAGCATGAAAAAAGAAGTAACTGAAATTTAAGATACAAATTGCAAGCGCACACACACACAAATGCACAGAGTTATATTCATATAGGAAGCAACCAAAGAGAGAGAGAGAGTGAGGAAGGGAGGGAGAGAGTGGGAGCGCGCGCCATAAAAGGGCAAACAGGCGCCTAAAAATAGCCCAAAAACGAATTGAGCCATTAAATCATAAGCGTGGGCGCTTCTGTATGCAATAAAGCTGTTGTTGTTGTTGCTGTAATTATTTCTGTTGGCGCCGCAACTTTAAAAATATTTATGTAAACAGCATTCGCAATTCTTTTGAGCTACAATTGCGGCAAAATGTGCCGTAATATATGTATATATCCTGCGGCGTTTTGGCGTGGGCTGCCATCAGGTACACACACATACACACGCACAAAAATACTCACATTAATATACCCAAACAGTTGTATATAAGCACACACCTATATATATCAACACACACTCACATTTCGAGTGTCAAGCACCGCCTGACTTCTGTCTACTTTTTTCCTGCTTTGACTCCTACGAAACGAAACTAAACAAAACAAGAATTTGAGGAAGTTCTCATACTCTGTGGCATGGAACTTCGTGAGTTGACTCATCGCAATTGTATAAAGAAATATAGAATATATATAAATTATATAAACTTATATGTTAATAATAAAAATCTATATATTTACATTTATATATAAAATATAAACAGACTTTAAATAGTCTTGTCTTGTATTTGAAGACTCCTACAAACCATCGAAAGAAATTTGATGTTGCTGCGAAAAAACATTTTCTTGTATGATAACCTTAAGATTTTTTTTACTTTTAATGATAAATCGAAAAAATTATATTTCATTTAAATCAAATTTCGTTCTCGATAATTCCCGATAATTTGAAAAACTGATCCCCTTGCCATTTCGAATTATCGGGACTCGACTGTATTTATTTATTATTTAATTTATATATTTTTTATTCATTGAATTAATTTTGAGCTATATATTTACACCCTGAACCCATTGAAAATGTGAAATCAGGGTCGAATGATTTAAAATGTCTGTAACGGACAGAAAGAGGCGTGGCATACCCCATAGCGCATATGTATTCTTAACCGCATAATTTCTATATATGGAATATGTACTAAAATAAACAAATCTAATCCAATATAATTATAGCATATAAAGCCTGCGAATATTACATCAATAAAGAAATCCATCTCACCATGACATGTTGATTACAGATTATGTATATATTATATAAGTTAAGCGCTCCCACACTAGAGTACTAGTGCTACTATGTTGGGTTCTTGTGAATATATAACAACTTTGTGTTCAATGAAATAATATATTTTATATAATTTGGAACGATAGGTATAATATATTTTATATAATTTGGAACAATAGGTCTAAGCTCTCTCTAGTCCGAATATAAACTGAACTAAATCTGTTCAACTGGTTAGGTTCTCCCCTTGAATGTCTAACTGGACTCTCCAGCCTCATTAGATTGTCGAAAGTCTTAACTTATATATGATCTCAACTAGCCTAGCCCTCAACTGGTCTCAGGGTTACATCTTTCGTAACAGATTCGTAGTGCTCGCTAGGGCACTCAAACCACCACCATCACTACCTCGGCAAACCATCCCCAATCTGTACCTCAGGCTACCTTGCCTTGATTTCAGTTTCTTTTCAGCTTTTAAGTGTCAATTACATTGACGTTTATTCAAATATGCGTTGCCAGGATATATTTTGACATTGCCATTGGCATTTGAATATGGAATAAGCGGAAGAAAGTCAAGGCAGCCACAGCCACAGTCACAACACGTGCGTGCCACAGACCGTTGCCTTGTGTATGTCCTTGCTCCCCCTCTCCCCTCCTCCACCGTCCTGCATCGTTGCGTGTGAAGAACTCCTCAAGTTGTGATTTTGTGCGGATTTATCGGGTTTTATTGTGCGTATCCCAAAGACCTTGGCATTTCCAACACAGATATGTTAATATATATGTAGAGAAGAGAAAAACATAAACTTTTAAGAGCCCCAGCAGCGTCGCCCCACCACGCGGCCAACTCAATTGCTGAATTGCCTGGCCTTAGATTGTAATTTTTCATTGTACATTATTTTTGTGTTTAATATCAAAATTTTAGTATTTTAGAATAAAGCATGCGCGAGCTTATTTATTTTGCATTACAGCGCGCATAAATTGCGAATTCTTTTCGTCTTCCTCTTTTTTTACAGCCATCAAAAATGTGCGCTACGCTTTATGGCCAATGGCAAGGGAAAATCGCATTTTGGGACATGCTGCGCTATCAGCGTCAGCAACAGGCCAATCAAAATGCAATTTCCTAACGCACGCACACACACACACACATATGTGTGTTTGTATAGATGTGTGTGTGTGTGTGTGTGTGTGTGTGTGTGTGTGTGTGTGAGCATCATCTTTTGATGTCCGCACTGAACAGGTGGATCCTATGTAAATGCTGGTCACATTTGCAAAGATTTTTGACTGATTCGTCCGGGTTTTCCCTTCAATTTCAGCCAGATTCACCAGCTGAATATTCACCATATCATCAAAATGCAAACAAGCTGATTTCGCTCTCAGCTGCTGCTGCTGCCGCACACGGTGTCTATGAATTTGTCATTTGCTTTCGACTGCTAAAACGTCCCAGCTCTACCTATACCATCGCCCTCGCTTCACGCACTACGCATCACGCATACGCACCGTTGGCCCGTCGGCTGTCACAATGTTGTTGGCGCTGCTCAACTTCATCAAAATAGAATCAGCTGCGTCGCTGATAAGCAAACATTTAAGTACACACATAAATACTCGTACCACAGACCCCATTGTCGCCTAAAAGGCTGCTACATTATGAATGCCGCGACAACTCAACCGAATTCAGCTGAGCGCGTGAGTGCGTGAGTGCGTGAGATATTTGATAATCAAATATTAGTAAAGGAAAGTTAAAAATATATTCAACAAAATATTTATTTTAAAATTCCTGTTTAGTTGCAAAAATTCTCAAATATTTGCAAGAAAAAAAATAAAATCATTTTTCGTGCTTCGTGCGTGAGCGTACTCAGAAGAGACTTGGAAAACATTTGATTTATCTTAAATTGTGTTAATCAATTAATTTTGCACTTCTCATGAGCATTCAAAATCATCAAACAGTAAAAGTCTCTAGAGATTAGTGCGTGGGCGTGAGTCGTGAGCAAAGCAATTAACGATAGCATAAGCACTGAAATTTTGATTTATGAATGTCAGATGCGGGATTAGTTTTTGTTTTTTGCATATAAAACATTATAATTTATGTGTAAATTATGATTTGAAATGTAGGACAGCTATCGATAATCATCGACATCGAGAGACATTGAATTGAATATTAACATTTCTCATATAGTCATAAAAATTAAATATACGATTAGATGTCTATATCTTTATTATGATATAGCATGTTCATATATTAACAATATTATAGAGTATCGTAATCGTTATATTTTACTGCATCTCTCCAGTTATCGATAAATATAGTGCTAGAAACTACTATGGCTCTGGCCCATCTCTATTTAGCTCGCTTCCATCTCCAGCTCCGCCTTGAATCATGTCAGGTTTGGGCTCACAAACACGTGGACCGAAGTGAAAGACCAACTAGCAGGCAAAAGTTTTAGGCACAACGGCGCAACGTCAACTCGCAAGAGTGTGAAAAGAAAGAAGTGAGAGTGCCCGACTAGAGAATACCCTGACTCCAGCACCTGCAAACTTATTGATTCATTGAAACTACTTTTGAGCGACGCGGCTATTCTTTCTGATTGACTCTATAGAAACAACAACAAATTACATATGTATGTGTGAAGCCAAGCATTATATACTCTATATACACCTTTCCATGGGGTATTACGAGAGCAAGGAGCTAACAAGTGCGAAAGTGAGAGAAAGACATAAAAGAGAATGAAAGCCTGTTAAAGTTGAGCTGTGCTGTAAGGCGTAAACTGACGCACGTGTGTTCAATGTCAATGTGTGTGTATGTGTGTGTGTGTGTGTGAAGCTGATTTTGTGTGCGTGTTTGCCTGCTTTAGTAAATAAACCAAAATGGCAGCCACGGGCGGTATTTATATGCTCAAACAAACACACACACACACTAACACAGCTTTGTTAAAGAGTTGACTGTGTATATACTGTTAATTAACCTGACGTCAGTCGCTGGCATTGGTCAGCCCTCTCCTTGCCGAACGCTTGTTAACCAATTCGAACGGAAATCCTGTGCTCTTCCATTGGCCTCAAGTTGACTCGAAGACTTTCGCCTCGAGCACTTGGCTATTTGCATATGTACATAATAGATTGTATAAGTGGGCATAGTTCTGCTTTTTGTTAAATAACTTATTCACTTAGCCGTATTAATGCCGCAGCATTAGAAGAGGTCTCAATAGCATAGAGAGAGACACACACACACACGCATTAAGCATACGCCGCGTGGCCTACATGAAATGCCGTAGCTAGAGCAAAGGCATTTTCATCATACAAACTACAGCGAAAGTTGATTGATTTAACTTTTATTATTATGTAAGATAGCAGCAAACGGAATTCGTCATATGCGAGGCGTAAGGCGAGAGCAGATTGAAAAGTTTGCACTAATTATTTGAGTTTTTTTTATTTATTTAATTTTGAGTCACAACTAAAACGACAAACCAACAAAGCAATGTTGTTTGTTATCTATTTGTTGCATAAAAAGCCACTTTACATTTTCATTGATAACATATCGATAGCACTTGATAAGCGCTAATGATAATATTATGCTGCTATTTGTGTAGACTGTTTATCGAGTCTAGTTGAAGTTTGTTTCATTTGCCAAGAGATAAACAGACTGATAAACGACTTAGTTTAAGGTTTGTGAACTGCTGCAAATAAAAAGCCAAATACTTTCCATATAATACCTCTTAATACCATTTTGTATACCGAGAAATAGTGCATAGCTATAAAGCTAAATCATTAACTAAGGCGTATGATTTTATGATAAAAATGTTAAAAAAAAACTTTTTTTTATTTCTCTCAGAAAAAAGTTCTTTAAAAAAATAGATTGATTTTTTTTATTCCATTCAAAGTGGTAAAAATGGATGAATTTTTAAATTGAGCTCAAGGTATTACTTATTTTTCACAGAATAAAGTGAAGTAATATCGCTATTTCTTTTTGTACAATATTGTTAATTTATTTATTTATTTTTTTTAAATGAACTCAGTGTGAATAAGTGTATGAATAAAAAAGATTATATATATTATATAGATTTATATTATAACAAGATACATCTAGGTATAATAATTCAAATTAGTTATTAAGCAACCCTCGCAGTTAGCATTATACGTGATGCTGCGCTGACTACGTGACTAGATAAGCCTATTAAGAGGCATTCTTTAGCAGCCAGCGAGGCCAAAGGTCCAAAAATTCGTAAAACATGCAATTCGACAACAGAGAAAGACAGAGGGAGAGAGGGAGAGTAAGAGATGGAGTAAGGGAGAAAGAGAGCGCTTATTGTGTAATTGTGTGGCCATAAATCTTAAGTCCGCGCCTATATTGGCTTGTTGCAAAAATCCCCAAGCTTTTGCCATTTTGTAGACATCAAATTAAAGCGAAAGAGAGTTAGGAAATAAAATAAAAAAATAATACACGATGCGTTAATTCCTGCCCGTAAAGTAAAACTCTCTTTCTCCCTCTCTCCCCTCGTATATATATGTGTGTGTGTGTGTAAAAAATCGATTGATTTGAAAGCAGAAAAAAAAGCAATTAAGGTCAATTCTGGACTGCGCTGTGTGCGGTGTTGTCCTGCTTGGATGGGTCGTAACTACCTCAACTTTTTCAATTTGCTTTTGTACGGCGCCCACATCGAGCAACTGACCAAAGTTATCGCTCGGAAGAAATCGAAATTAGCCCCAAGGAACAAGGAAGAAAGTTAAGGCCAGGCCAGGTTAAACACATAGGGAATGAGCTGGGCTCGATAAAAATTCAAATAGCACAAACAAAAATCAAACCAAAAAAAAAAAAAAAAATTAAATAAAATAAAAAGTGCCAAACAGCAAAAGGACACAAAGTTCGGCCAGGAGCACATTGTGCAACGAAGGATGCCAAAGATACGACCAGGAAGAAAGGGATAAAACAAGCAGCAAACCAGTAACATGATAAAGGCCCACAGCCATTTTGGCCAGCAAACAAAAATGTTGCTTGATTGAATTTCTGTGGGTTCATCAGGTTGCGCATACGACATGTTGTACCCAATATATAGCTCACTCTCTCCATCTCTCTCTCTCTCTCTATATATATATATTGTATATACATCAATATTTATCATTGTTTATATTTCACCACAAAGCTTCGATTCGTCTATAATTAAGAGTCCTGCCTCACTTTAAATTAATTGAATAGCTGCTTAATAGGATTCCGCAGTGACTTTTATGGCAACTGTAAAAAGGACACTTTTATTGCTCCCCAAAAAAAATTATACAATGATTTCTTCTCTTTCTTTTTGCCTTTTTCGACTCTGGTTGTTGTTGCTGTGTTGCTTGGCTTAAATTTATTGTTTTAATTTTTAGCCGCAATATTGCCGACGCCCGCTGTTGCCAGCCAGCAGGAGGAGGAGGAGGTGGCAAGAGGCCCTTTTAGCCAAGCTTAAAAAACTTTGTTCGCTTTTATTTGGCCAAAGTGTTAAGAACTCGTGTAAATTCCATTAATACCACAGCAAAATAGACTAAGAGGAAGCAGCCAGAGCGGCCTTAAGCCCCAGCCACATTCGATAAATCAACAAAGTACAACGACAACAAATAACAACAGCAACGACAGCGACAACAACAACAACGACAGCGACAACAGCCCCTAAAGGCAGCTCTCGCTCGCTTAGCCGCCTAATATTATGCAACACGCGCTATAAATATGCAAATTTTTTGGTGCCTCACCAAACTAATCAATGTTAATTAGCACACGCCTGACAATTTCAGACTAATTCCAAGGGTACTTCTAGCTGTCCTAACATATTTGAAGTCTTGAGGACATGAGACAGAAATATAACGAAAGTTTTTTCGTGCAGAAAAGATATATTGATCTGTTAGTTAATTTATCAAATGAACAAGGCAAGAATGTTCTCTTATTGTATCTCTTTTATCTCTTACTTTGGAAACTCTTTTAGCTTTTGTCATATTCTGAACCACATGATTTTACTTTCTAAACAGTCTGTTATATTACTTCTACTATATATAGTATCTAAATTAATATATATACACAGTCTGCTCTACTCATGTCCACACTCCAGTCTTCTATAACCTATTCAAACTTGTATCTTTCATCTCAACTTGGCCTCTTTATGCTGTTGGACTCATATTATCCGTCGCTCTCCTCTACACTCTCCCTTCCTCACCCACCCTCTACCCACATAGTGTATCTAGCAGTTGCATATACCCTTAGCTAGCTCACTTTTATCTTTCCTTATCTTGACTTTGCATAATTTGTACATATTTTTGTGTGACATTTTAATTAAATTCATCAAGTTGAAATTGGAAGGGGCTAACCCTAGCAGCAATTACAACTGCGACATATCAGCCATAAATAGCTTTGTAGAAGCCATGGCTATTACGCATAGTCATTGAATGTATTTGATTTGCAGTTGCCACGGCCTTGAGGCGCTGCCAAAACACATTAGCCAAGAAATGTTGCTCATTAGCAGCAGCAGGTAAAAGTAATATGTGGCACACACATTCACTCACGCACACAGTTCAATGCTCGTAGCACCAGAACGAAAATACCTTATAGATAGAATATACCCAATGCAAAGAGGGCCTCAAGTAAGAACAGGAAAATCAAATAGAAAATTGCGCTGTCAATGTTTTGATTTTCTTTTATTTTTTTTGCATTTTTTGGCATTGGTACAGAAGCCAAGAGAATTTGTCTCTTATCTCTTCCGTTGTTCGCTATCGTAATTTTATTTTTCAATTAGGCAAACAACAACAAACACAAGTAGAACAATAGCTGCCAATAAAAATTGAACATTACTCAAATGCACAAGACCGTGAATTATTTTGCATTAAATTTGTTTATTATTTGGTTACAAATTTGAGTTTGAAGTTGTAAAGGCAATGCCAAACAGTCAAATACATAGGAGGAGTATAAACAGTTATCGAAGAATTGCACAATCTATCTATCAAAAATGAGAAACATATCAGGGGTATTCCCAGCATTTGATAAGTACATTCATTTCATAAGACTTTTTTTTTTTTTTTAATTTAAAAATGTCATTTGATCAATACAAAAAAGTAACAAAGGCGTTCAAAGCTTAATAGTGATTATAAAAAATAAAAAAAAAAAA